TAGTGCAGATGTCTTTACCACTCGACCACCGAGCGAGTTGTAGAAAACATGTACGTTACACTTTCCCCACTTAGGCTTACAGAATATCCATTTTTAAATCACAAAAATAATCTAAGATACAGTTTGAGAAAATACGAGCAATGCAGTTTGGAGTTGTGAAATACATTTACATTACAAAAATGTGTGATTATGCTTCCCACAGCGGCATTATAAAGACCCACAAAAATTATAACCTAAGTCGAAAAAGCGATGTACGTCCGGGGGCCCCATGTCTACACGTACAAGTGCGCCGCAGTAACGCTACATGGGCCTACACAGTACCTACACACTTGTACAACGATCGCCGAACTGCATTTTACTTAAACTTTTCAGGCCCAAAATATCACCATTTTTTCCACCAAAACATGACTGAAATTTACATTAGATTGATCCATGATCTTCTGCGGTTATATTGACATAGGAACCCAGTCATTACTTTCCCAAATTACACATGAATTATTAGCACCAAAATCGATCTATAATTATGACAAAGTTACCTGTGGATGTCAGGGCAGGCGACTGCCGGAGCCCGCGCACGTAGTAACTTAGCAACAATAAGCATGATGTAATGGTTGAAAAAGAGCCTAATTTTCCTGTACCTAATTCCTATAAGATGTTATAATAAAATGATAATAAACCCATCCTGGTTAGATATTTGTTTGTAAAAGTATGGACATTTTACAATCGAACAAAATAACGATTTTCTTTCCAAAAATAAGTACTAATAATAGTGATGAAATGTGCTTATTTATGTGTTTGTTGGTGGGTCTGACTCCAGTAACTAATGTAAATAAACACAGAACCCGACTTGTGGAACTAACCGGATGACCTTAAAGGTAAATTATCGACCAACAAATTATGTCTATGAGAAAATAATACTAATCCATTACACTCTAATAAATAATCTAAATAATTACAAATGGAGCATTTACCCCCTTACACGTATATAGAATTTAATCGACTTCGACGAATTTCTTTGTAAAGTGCACTGTGCCATGTCAGAAAATCTGAACTTTTCAATACCAAATTTTGGCAGAGTGGTTCGCCATGGTTAGGGGACTCGACGGTCACGTTTATAACGTGAGAATAAACGGTGAGTTGGGGCACTGGTGTCAATAACTGTTCTGACGGAGAACACCACTAGTGTCAGAGTTATTACCAGAACGGTTATATAGCTTTTGACGAGTACTGCTGGTAACGGTGGCGTCATAAATATTGACTAGGCCTAATGAGAACAAGGCTGCTAGCAAAATATCGTTTGGGAACTTTTGCCGGCGACGGTAGAATTTTAAAGAGGTAGGTCTTTGCAGTGACACAAATACGTAAAAAAACAGCATATCGGGAGACTGTCGACGTTTTCTTTCTTTCGCACCAGTTGATTCAGTAAGTTAAAAATATAGATCCGAGTTTATGGATATACATGTGTGTAAACTCCAAGCTTTCGTTTGCGCGAATTCGATGAATTACAAATTCTCTTGGCATGTATACAAAGAAAGAAAATCTCATTGCAAGGGTGAGACCAAGCTGTTGAGAAGCTGGTTGATATGCTAAGTGTGTGCAGTGAAGCGGGAGCAGGGTGTGGTTACGTAAGGCATTGGTATGCGGGAGAGTGTCATCCGCAGTCACTACGCCACACTGTTCGCTTAATTTCTTTTGTCACAAAGATGTATAACATTAACATGTTTTCATGATTTCAAGAGACATATGTAAGAGTTAAATTAGGTAGTAGCCCTGGAGCCAGGTATGCTTAATCGCCATAGGAGGTCGGACAGGAATTTCCCTGTGTTTTTGTCCTTAGAATTACGAGACAAGGTTTCATCTTTGGGTTTTCGCCTGTCCCAGGGTATTGCTTAATGAATGATATCAAAAAGGATTTCGAAAGTCTTATAAAACCGTATTTCGGAACAGGTTTGATTGTTGTAGAGTGTATTTTATTCGCTATAAGTAACGAAACGTTTGTTAAATAGAGTTAGTGACTGTCAGCAATAGCAACAGTTATAGAAATTTATTATTTGTCTGTGTATTTCGGTTGGGGTGTCGGGACTGAGTTGAAATTGTATATGCCAGCTGATATGAAGCACGTCCATGATTTGAAGGGGGAATGGATTTAAAAGGACCTATCGGGAATGCTACTTACTACGGTGGCTGATCCCCAAGCCGTACAATTGGGACGTCAGAATGAATTTAACGCCGTTCTGGAAAAAATTCTTAGCGGAGATCAGCTATTGCAAATACCAGCCACTGGAACATACACTACATATACAATATTAACCTCATTTAACTCGGCACACAGCGAGTATGATAGGCTTTAAAAATGCTGTCACGCTTTATTTACACGTGCGCTATCCTTTGCAGGTTGGCGATGCATTGTTTCCCTACTACGTCAAAGTGCACAAGTAAACAAACAAATGCGTCAACAAATGACTTTTCTACCGTAAGCATCACCTTTTTGGACAGGTGACAGTGTCGCACCGGCTTCAAATGACCCGATCTCCAGTTTCGTTGATGAAAACTAAAACGTGCGTGTTGAAGCGCGTCTGCTGCCATATGTAAGCCCTACAGGTCTCCATATACCTTGTAAAATGACCAGCATTATTAATTAAACGACGACACCACATAAAATTACGGAGATTATACATGAATTTCGCAACTTTGCTGTAATCTGCTATAATAAAGAAGATTTTGGATGAGTCTACGAAATATGAAACAAAAGTGGTTTCTTGGGTTTACTTCCTTTTCTTTAGTGTTTCTTTATTACTTCACTGGTGCGTATTGTGGTCTCTTCCATTAAGTATGCACAAATAACATTTTTTTTTTGTTTCTCGGTTAGAGTGCTTCTGGGTTGACATTACGAAATTAATATTTGTTTTGGCAATAACGATGACTTAAAAAATAATTGAACATTATGTCCCAAGGTGGCCTATTCCCGACCATGTTAATTTTCGGTTTGGTCGATTCTTATTTCCTTCTTTTTCATCATCTGAAATCCTCAAATACATGTATATATGTATACGTCTGTATAAAATTATGAATTAAAACAGACCGATAACTCTCGCTCGTTTCACACTGATGCCCTGTTGGAGCTCGTTTTTGTAAACACATCAGTTGATTTAAATGGCCATAAGAGGAACAACTTCAAAATGTGATGAAAAGATGGTCGGTTTCCTATTTGTATTTTTGTGTCATATTTTTAACTGGGAACACGGTTTCATTGCAGCGTGGAAGGCAACCTCAGAATTGTTAAGAAAACGTAGCAACAATTTTGTGTGAGTAAAAACATAAATACCGTAGAATCCAGGGACGAGTCTCCCTTGCGCCAGGCTGGAAAGGAACTATCACCTTTTCAGAAGGAGACAAATGAGGTGTAATGTGGCGATAAAAAATAATGAAAGTGCTTTTCCGAAGCGGATGGAATACCTATCATTGTGCAGACAAACGATGAGAAATGACTCCATTTCACTT